GTCTAGTTAATTAAAAATATGAACTGGATCGAAGCTACGATCGATCGATTCGCAATTTAATCGGTCGAACCGGCCGATTCGATTCGATTTGATTTTCAAAACACTGGTCAAAGCAGGATAATCTTTTACCCACAAATGTCTAATGTCAACCAAGAAGGCATATGCGTGTGTGAGTGTGTATGTCTGTATATATAGCCTTTTAAACTAATTTCTTTCACCTTCTTGAGAAACCTCAAGAGACAAGTTAAACAAACCTAAAGCCCCAGATCAATCGTCAAAAACCGACAACTTTTGACGACGACTCGGGAGACTTATCTACCCTTCCCTTAACACCCCCCAGCCTTAACACCCTTCCCTTGGCCCCTGTCGGGGTTTCAAGCCTTTTAAACTAATTCATCTTGTAAGTTTGGCCTAGCTAGTAAAGCTACCAACCTTTTATTCTGAAGTTGGTAGAGTTGCCATAAAGTCTGATAAATTCTTGTTCCATTATGCTGAAGTTTGTCAGGTATTTAACAGCATACACAAACTTCTCAATTACAAAATTTCACCGTTTGCTCCGTAATTGACAATTACATTCGTAAATGTGAATCACAAATTGGTTTCTAGACCAAAGTTACAAAATAGGATTAATCAAAATTAGTAATTAAAATACGAGCTAAATTTATTTCAAAGTAAATTTTGGTACAACCCTCCAAAAAATATATACATATCCTTATATTATATAAGAATGAGTTTAGGACTAGATTTCAACCGCAGGGGTGAGGCTATTTTGGGAATGTGAGAGTATTTGAAGAGTAATTGGAACATTGAGTACAAGTCATTATAGTTTTAATTTCACTATAATTACTTATATAACCTTTCAGACATTTAAGGTTAGGGGCAGATTTGGTATGTTACAATGTTTGGTGCCAAGTTGAGTATCAAGTACAACTGAATAAATCTTGTGTTTTGGTAGAATTACATAAAAGTTATTTTAATCATTTATTACCTTATTATCCTTATACTATATAAGAATGAGTTGAGAGTAAAGATGTTCTTTGGATTTCAACCGTAAGGTTAGGGCTATTTTGGGAATGTAAAAGTATTTGAAGTACAATTGGAGTATTGAATACAAGTCATTATAGCTAATTTAGTTTTGTTGTAATTACTTAGATGTCCTTTTAGACATTTAAAGTTAGGGGTGACAGATATCCGATTGAACACTAGGTATAACTAAATTCAGCTTGTGTTTTAGTGAAATTACATAAAAGCCCTTCTAATCATTTAATTGTATTAACATCCAAGTCTCTTAATTTTCTAAAGCATTTCTCATCAGTTATTTGCAAACTTATGATATATAGATATTAAAACACAATTAATGCCAATTAGTAGAGAAGTTTGCTTTCTTGGCCGTTACCCCCATCTATTCAAATTCATTTCATTTACTTACAACTTTTTTCCACCATAATCATGTAGCCTATTAAATTCGGATGTTGCTACATTAGCCACTCCTCTTCCCTATTTTGCAACACCTTTCTTAATAGGTATATTTTCTTTAACCAATCTACCTTTTGGTTGTAAGAAATCTCAATAGGTATGTTTTCTTTAACCAATCTACTTTTTTGTTGTAAAAAATCTGTAATCTTGATGGTTGTATGTGCGATAATTTTTTAGTATTTTAATTCAACTGTCCATGTTAGATAGGCATGATAGGGAGGAGATCACATTTGTTAATTATTATTTGTGGTTTAAAGTAAGTTTATCATCATAAATTTTTCCATATGCAGATTGCATCTACTTTTGCTGTTTTAACTATTAGTTATGATAATTTTCAAATTGTTGGCTATTTTATTGATGATTCCATTTAGGCAAATTTTTCACTTCATTTGATTTGCCAATAGGTTTAGCTATCTACTTAGAACTGTTTGGTTGCAAATCTAAAGTATGTACTTCATTACTTTTAATTGTTTTCTTGAATTGAGTGGTCTAAGATGTCTTAGTACTTTATTTGATATGGTTATTCCTTTAAATTAGCATGTTAGTTATTGTAAATCTTTGCAACTAGATCAAAAACTGATATTTAGTGATTGTAATTCATATCGAGGAGGAGATGCTTAACTATATGTTCTAAATTATACAATAAATCGTAATTGATTGATTGGTGAATATGGAGGTCTCATGATGATATGTTCTTAGAATCAATATAAATGTAAGAATTTGGCTTGCAAGAATCGAAATTTCACTAGCAATACTTTTCAACCGCAGTGGTGATGCTATTTTGGAAATGTGAGAGTGTTTGAAGAGTAATTGGAACAACATTGAGTACAAGTCATTATAACTTTAATTTCACTATAATTACTTATATAACCTTTCAGACATTTAGGGTTAGAGGCAGGTTTAGTATGTTACAATGTTTAGTGTCAAGTTGAGTATACAACTGAATAAAGCTTGTATTTTGATAGAATTACATAAATGTCCTTTTAATCATTTATTATACTAACATTTAATCTTTCCAATTTCCTGAAACCTTTATCATCCGTTAAGGAATTAATTGGATGTTTACATAATTGTATTTTAATTAAAATTAATTAACTTAATTATTATCTGAACAATCATTATTATATTTATGTCCCTATGTTTAGCCGATACCCTTTTTTCTTTTTCGGTTTCCTTTAAATTAAGGTGAGTTCTTTGGGTTTGTCTTCTTAGATTGTAGTTTTTTTTTCTGATGATTGATTTATTCAAAAACTCCATATAGTTTGCCTTTTGATGCTTCTAATTCCAAAAATTGACTAATTGTATTGTTTTTCTTAGTAGATACCAAAGATTCTGTCTCTGGTCAAAATACAATTTGAGATAATGTTGTCACTTTCTAAAATAATCAGAAAAGCAATTTTATCATCTTTTCTTCCTCAGCCAAGGTATTATCTCTTTATTTAAGTCAAATAACCTTATTTCTCATGAACTTTCTCATATTATTCTTGACTTCAGGGATCTGTTGACTACATTCCAGCAGTTATGGTTTAAGTAGTTATTTTTTCATGTAATATGATTTGAAATTCAGCTTATGTTTATTTTAATTGAGAATTTTATGATTGTAAAATTTATTAACTTAGAATTTTGTACTTTATTGAAACTAAAAAAGAAATTAATCATGCTACATGGTACTAAGATGTCATTTGCACTCTATTTGCTTTCCATGTTATGATCTCGTTCTTGTATTATACTGTTTATATAGTTTCAAATACAAAAAATTTGCTTTTTTATACCATGTAAAAGAATTTGTAATGGAACTTGATGAGTTTAAATGCTTTAACTACAGCACCATTTTGATTGCATTGTATTAATTCATTTACTCATAATTATACGTTGTATAATAATAAATAATGTTTCTTGATTTGATTAAAGCAACTATTATCCATAGTTCAAACGAGTTAATTAAGTAGAGATGTTATATTGGATACTTATACAAGTAAACATTGAAAAATATCATTAAGCAGTTTCTACCTATAGTTTGCAATTCGAATTTATATGAGAAATTTCTTCTGATTTTACTTACCATTTTCTGCAATTTAAAATTTAGAGAATATTATTTGCACCAATTTTTTATAATCAAAATAGTTTCAATTCAGATCTTTAACAATTATGCAGATTTGAACTTATTTATGAGATTATAAAGAAATACCCCTAGCAAAAAACACCAAATCTGAATAGTTTCTACAAAATTTTGAAAAATACCACTTAAGTTTCTTATCTATCTATCATTTTTTGATATTATTATCTCTGTAAGAAACATGTGATTAAGTCGTATTATACCCACCAAATTATATAAATAGTTAGTAAAAAATAAAATTATTTTAGATTAGATTGGACGCAAAGTGATTGATGGATAAACTTGACTTGATAATTCAGATTGAACTTAAGTCGTGGGAGAAATCAGAAGCATTGCTTGAGGGTTCTTTCACGAATATATATAGATTCAAGAGATGAAGGGTCCAATTGATACTTTAAAATATTTTATCATCTTGGATAAATTTTAGAAGGGACATTTGGATACTTTTCAATTGCACTTCAAAATTTTTTACATTTTCAAACTACCTTTATCTTTGCAGTTGAAATTCAAACATAACTTTTGATCACAACGGATTCTTATATAGTATAACGATAAGGATGTTTTATTGCACATTATTTTTATTGACTCACTATGTAACTTATCATTTTTCTATTAAAATCACATGATAAAATCATCATACTTCAGTTCCTATACTACAAAATATTAAACAATAATTATTAATTATCTTGAATCACAAGCACCAAATTCCCGCGCGTCGCCTGGGCTATCCCTCCCTAGTATATGTATATGTATGTATGTGTCTATACCATATATATATATGTGTGTGTATACATATCCATCTTTTAGTTCGAATGCATTGAACCGGAGTGCTGGATTGGGCCTATTGCTGGGCAGCAAATGTCTCGTTTATAAAATGTTTCTTTGGGACTTCACCGACGTGCACACTTTTGTGTTTCGAACCAGCCCATGACTTGGTATCTGAAATTTATGTCTTCTATGTTTGTTTGCAATATCCGAAAATTATATGTTTATTTACATTAAAACGGAGTACAAATTTTCAACTTGTGTAATGCCTTGTATGTATGATGTCTCAAACAACTGTTAATGACGAGGGATGATTTATACGTTCTCTCCCTGCTAATTAAATCTCTGTTTTAGTAGAGTGGATTGCGTAACGATGATGGCAAATAGGTTCGACTTCAAGTATTGCTAAATGTCTTTATTGGAATGACTAGTGTCTTAATCGTATTTCTTACCCTTCCAGTACTAGCATATTAATTAGTCATAAAATTATGCTAATTGAAAATAAGATCAATGACGCACCGACTTTCAACAGAAGAAAAGGATGGCGTGAGAAGTAGAAAAAATTCAACAAAATTAATACAGAGAATCAGGAACAAAAACTGTTTGGTCAATCATCAGGGTAATCTGAATCCTCCCTCGTTCATTAATGATAGCTTTGAACTGAAACCTTGGCTTGTGCCCCTCCTTGAACATATACAACGGTGCAATCTGAACCAGGTTTCAATACTTTCAACCATTGTGGAAGCTCATATATGTCCTTCTCTTGTGTTGGGTTGAGGCCCCATAATGATCCCGTAAGATTTTCAAATTTCAGCTTCAGATCGGTAATAGGCTTCTGTGATGTATTCTTGATTATCACCTTGTGGCGATAATATGTCATTTTTCCAATTGTCCATGACTGAGTTATTGAGTGGAAGAAATGAACAGGAACATCTGCATGAAGAAGATTTTGTGTGGTGACTTTGTAGTAACTTAGAGAAGAAGATTATTTGTATTTATCCATAGGAAAGACACAGGTATATGATATCTCTTCGGTATCACTAATGGTCAAGCGTTTTTTTGGTTCATGGTCATCAAAATGGATTAGCTTTGGTTGGTTTATGAGGAATAGTTAATGATCAGGACCATGAAACTTGTTGCCACAATTTTTAGCTCACGCAGAAAGAATTTTCCAGCTACACACCTGGATGTTTCTGGTATGGTTTGGGTAGGTCATGATGGGTAGAACCTGTAAAAGAGGACAAAAGTCCATCAGCTTTTCTAATAAACTCTGAAATGAGGAGTCTACAGTGACGTTAGATGATTGTAAAAGCTTTTGTATTGTATTTTCAGAGGATAACTATGGAATCATAAATCATAACAGGAAACAAATATTCAGATGTATGTCTGGTTCTCACCAGGAGTGTTGGGGTGTGGTTTTTGAGACACTGGAGCATGGTAACCTGCAGAAAAATACAACATTATGCAAAAATGTCGAGAGGAAAAAGCAAGAACATTGATTAGATTCTGTAAATTCAACTTCTACTCTGCAGGTTGATAAGCATTCAACTTGGCTCAAGATTTTGAAGAGTTCATCCAGGTATTTTACCCGAATTTCCAGAAAGAGATTGCAATCTGGAGAAAAGTCCAAAGAGAGGAGCTACACCAGATATTGTTGGCTCTGTTTGCTCATAGTTAGACCGATCATCAAAGAACGCATCGTTGTTATTTGGACCTCCAACAAGGGCTCCATATATGACATTTGGATTTGGCTCAGGACGTCTGTACCAGCTTTCGAATCCTTGTACACATCCAACAACAGATTGAAGGGCAAAAACGGAGGCAATGGAAGAACCCCTGTGGTGAACGTGGATGGGATAGTTTTGACCATAACCAACAACGTAGCTCATAGATTTCGGATTTTTACCCAGAAAGTAATCAGCCTGCAACCAATGTGCCAGCAGAAAGATCAGTTTAAGCCATTTATTAGAGAGAAGTAATCATTGACTTTAGGAGATCAGAATTTCAAAGGAATCAGGTAGTCATGCATGCCTGTGATTTAGCAAAACTGAGGAGATCCTGAGGTTGGATTTGGGCTTCAGGACACTTGAGTATGGAATTCCCCATTGTGAGATAATCAGAGTAGACAGCTAGGAGAAATGCAGCAGATGCAGCATACTGCATATTGTTCCACTCCCTCACATAGACTAGGCCACCTGAATTAGATTGATAAATATCAATGCAGGAATTTATGGAGTCCTGATTCTATAAACAGAAATTTTTCATTTGATTCCTAAATATATCTTGAAATAATCACATATTTTTGGGTTTTGACTTTTCAGTTGAACCAATTTTTTTTTGGAAGTAGACATCTTTTGTTAACGTACTTTACATTTGAGATCCAGAACTTGAATCACATTAAGATTTACGGCAAATTTACTGACCGGGAGTGGTGGCCACATTGTAACCATCATTCTTTTGCATGCAAGCGCATGCAAAGAAATCTGCTTTAGCTTGATATTGTTGTAGAGTGGACGTGTATGCTCTACCAGCTCCATCCAATAATACCTACGTACAGAATGAGAAGGGGAGACCATAATCAGTCATCTCGAATGATAGCCAACCCTCCGTCTATGGCACTGTACAATGGATCATGCTTTGAATCTGTTGATATTCATCTCTTGTTTAAAAAAACAGTATACCTTTGAGAGCAGAATCTGGATTCCAGCGTATTTGGTGTCCCAGGAAAATTCTCTGACAGCCCAACCAGTTCCCCCCATAGGAACAGCATTGTCCACAACATATTTCAGGTAGTACTCATCATCTGTTGCTCTATAAAGCCATGTGGCTGCCCACAGAAGTTCATCCTGCACCATTTATATGTGGAACAAATTAACTAAGTTTCTAAGGCAACATAGAATGATGAGAGGATTCTGTGATGCAAAGCGATAAAATACTGACCGAATAACCAGATGAGGTATAGAACTGCTTAGCGCATTGGATGGAATCGTCGTACTTTCCTCTGAAGCTATCAGCAAATGAGAAAAGCTGTAGAATCCAGCCAAGTTATAAATAATTATTGAGACTTGTATCATTATGCAGTAAGGGCCTGCCTTGAACTATTATTGCACTGATCATTAATTCAGCATATCTGACCTGTTTTGCGTGGACTAACAGAAGACTTGAGTAAGAAGAGTTGTAAGGCTTAAAAGCCAAAGAAGCAGCAGCCAAGGCAGCTGCAGTTTCACCAGCAAGGTCTGAGCCCGGGTGCTCGGGGTCAAGCTTGTAAGCAGTCCTCGGGGTTGTCATGTCTTCAGCTCTCTCCCAGCAGTAATGATCGGATACCCCGTCCCCCACCTGAAACTCATCCATCAGGCCACTATCATACAAGCAAGCATACGAGAATTCCCTCTCTCTTTTTTTTTTTGGCCCCTCTTAATTTTGTAAGCAGCATACCTGTCCCCAGAGGACATTAGGCTGGGGATGAGCTTTGATGAAATAATCAGTACCCCATTTGATGGCAGCCAACGTGTGTCCCATCTGGTTCAGACGAACAATCTCATTCCTGTACTCAATAGCCCCCCATGAAAGCATCGTCATTGTAAATGCCATTGGTAGCCCGAACTTCACATGATCTCCTGCATCGTAGTAACCCCCTACCAAGTTTACCTGCCCATGCAACATTATTTATTTTCCACAAACACATAAATCGAGGATGATTCGAGAAAGTACATATGTTAATTTGTTATATATTTATGCTCCTAAAGAGAGAGAGAAAGAGAGAAAAAAGAAGAAGAAGAAGAAGACAGACGTGAGAGGGAACTTACTCCTTGAAGAAAACCATCCTTGAGTCCCGAGTCACCGCGCCATTTTACACGTTGATTCGGAGGTAATTTGCCAGACCTTTGTGCTTCAAGAAACAGCAAGGTCTTGTCCAGGGCGTCTCCATAGTCGAAGCATGAAACCCTGCAGGCTGCCTGAAAAACGAGAATACCAACTAACATGGCCAAAAGGGCTTGTGAACCACCTAACTTGGCCATCTTTGTATCTCTCTTCAGAAAATGGAAAGGTGTAGAAGATTTCTGCTTAATTGGATGAATAATTCTCCCAATTTCACACCCTATATATATATATACGGGACGTAGGACTGTAGGAGGAGAATTATGTCAATTATGGTCTGATGATTTTCTTCTCTCCATAATAACTAGTGTTGAGGGAAGGAAGGGGTGGTAGCCTCCACGTTCATGTAATGAAGGAAAGCTTAACATAGAGGCGAGCTCCCCACGTTGTGTTGCATTCCATGTTTACCAACTTAATCACATACATATAAATACGGGCATTGACATTGTAATTCGTCCCAGCAAGCCAAATTTAATAACCTCTAATCATACTGCTTTATATTGTGTTATTGGTCAAACCGGAACTAAATAATAGGGTAATTTACACAATCACACCAAATCCGCTTTTTAATTGTCTCCGAGCTTTCTTCACTTGCCTCTCGAAATCATTTTACTTGCAGTTTTCTATTTTGCTCCCTCCTCTTTTTTTTTTTTTTTTGGTAAGAAAAAGAACTAATATTAAGTTTAGAAGAGTTGTCAAATATAGTCATCTTAGGTATTGCAAAACCCCCCTCCCTTTTTTTTTTTTTTTCGTAACAGCACATTTAACTTAACCTATTCTACCTCCGCTCCTACATTGGGAGGAGCCTATTTTAGGGAGTAATCCAATTGACCAAATAGAGCCTGACATAAATTGAATTGCTATCAGATCAGACGGGTGCATCACAAAATAAAAAGGTACAGAACCGATTGTTTGAGTGATGGAGTTATAGACAACAAAATCAAGAGACTGAACAGCTCCCTCTTTGGCCAAAGTGTCAGCACATCGATTGTCTTCGCTCCCTCTGACTAAAAACTTTTAGCGCTTTTTAACATTTGGCCTCAAATTCGGTAGAAATTATCCTCATTTTTTCCCCTTTTTTCAGTGACGCTAATGATTGATTTTGCATGCTTTTTAGTTGGTTTTTCTTTTGATTTTGAGACCATACACTTTTCTTTTTAAAAAAAAAAAAACTCGAGACCTTGAATCTAGGATTTCTTACTTAGAAATTCGAATTGCTTCTCGTTTATCGCTCAACCCAACCTTCACTTTCCCTATTTTGAGACCATACTTTGAATTTCACTGAAATAAATCAAAAAATAAAATAAAATAAGAGTCTCACGTGCAAGCTTGGACGTTAAATGTAAATCAACATTTTTTTGAAGGAAATAAAATTTGATAAGAATTTCCTGCTCCAATTCTTAGTTCGTCCGTATAACATTCTTAAGGTTGATTTCATAATACGAAACAAATAATTGGATTAAATTTATGTTATCTTCGAGTTTTCAAATTGTCAAATAGTTCTTGATTGCACATTTTGAAAACAACAGTATATCTATTGGATGCCCACATCAATTCGGATTGAGGTCTGGATCTTATTTTACAAGCCTACTAAGATTTGGGTAGGCCTATCAACGGGCAAGGTTGTGACCCAAATCTGACATGAACCTGCTTAATATTTTCGGGTACGGGTATAATTACAAATCCGTTTATCCGGACCTAACCCAGATCTGTTCATGCTAATCTAAAAACGGGTCGGATATGGAATATTGGGTTCCGACATGGGTTCGACTCGGACCCGTTTGAATAAGTAATTATTTTGATAATATATTTGAGTATTTAATATTTGTTTGGATCTTTTAGAAATTGTAATTTGTAGGCATTAGAATAATTATCTAAAATAAATTGTGATTTTTAATTGGAATTTGTGGTGTGCAATTAATGTTTGTTTACAAAGATATTTTCTTCATTTTTTTCACCTAAATTTTTCTGGTCAGGTATACTCGACTCGTGCCCAGACCCGGATCGAAAAGAATAAGTTTAAAACTCTCAGGTCCAATACAAGTATAGCTAAGCGGGTCCAGGGTCAAAATATTGATTTTCAACCTGGACTTGTCCCGTTGACATCCCTAGATTTGGGTCTGCATATGAAAATATGGATGGCAACGAGTAGGGTATTCTCGAAAATTTCTCTTACCAAATCCTATCTAGTAATCCTACGGGTTTTAATTCCATTACTAAATTCTCTTGCTCACGAGCTCGGATGCTCATCGGGTATCCTCTATCCATTAAGTTGAATAGTTCAAAAGGAAAATTAATTTTTATTAAACTAAAATCAATATATATGTCATATTAAATTAACATATTACATTGAGTTATAAATTTGGATAAAGCCAAAGAGCTCACATGAGAAAAATTCAGCATTTAATGAAGGGTTAAATCAACATTCTTCTGTTTTTAATCATAATTGTCTTCATTTGTGTTAGGTTAGAGTTACATGTTATTGGATTATAAAGTTAAGAAACGTGTTTTTGAACGATAAAATTGGAACCTAAGTGTATGCACACACAGCTAGGTGTATGTGTGTGTATAGGGTATTGGGTATCAGATTTTTACTCCTTTTACCAAACCCTATCGAGTTATCCATGAGTAACTTCTCGTCAATACCAAACTCTAACAAATAACCCATCGGTCATTTAATTGAATTAACCATCAGGTTGGATACTCATTGATATCAAGTTTTATCGTATCCATTGCCATTCTTATAAAAAAATGAGTCTAGGTATGAATCTAGTAGATCCAAACTGACCCTAACTCTATTGATATGCCTAAATAGGACAAATAATTTGATTATGAAATGCAGCCTATAGCTGGTAAAACACTTCATTTGTAATCAATAGGTCACATATTTGAGTCATCAAATGAAAAATTGGGAATCATTATTGATCCTCTTGTAAAAAAGAAAAAAAGGATAATTCAAATTAAGTCCTAGATAATAAATTAACGGAGAAGTACCAAGAAATTCATTAGGGAGGGAGGTTGGGTTGGGTAGTAACGTGGAAGGGATTGTAAGTAAAAAATTTGGATTCAAGGCCTTCACTTGTTAAAAAAAAAGAGAATAAACAAATAAATCCAGTTATAGAGACAATGGCCTATTATTTCCAGTTACAATTAAATAGAAATGCCTCTGTCATCAAGTAAAGTTAAGAAATCGAACTAGAAATATTATTGGTCAAATTAACTCCTTGTTCAAACCCTATACCTATGTCTCAAAATCTTGAAACTTACATGCCATTCTTGACCCAAATAAACAGAAATTTTTTTTCTTGCTTCAACTATATATAACCTATAAAGTTCTTCTGTCAAAAAACGAGTGGCATGCATATTTAGTAACCTACAACTCAGCTGATACTTATCCACATACAATTCCAAATTTTTTCATTGATAATGCAACTAATCATTCAACCTAATTATTTCCTCGCACATCGAGTAAATCAAGATCTCAAAAATCTTGAAGTATGCATTTCATTTGAGGCAACAAATGAGAAAAGAAGATGAAACCAAGCAAAAAACACCAAATCACCAGTTTTTTGAAAAAATCTCCTAGAAAAAAATACAACAGACCTAGCTATAAAAAACCAGTAAATCAGTCCAAGTTCCCAACACTATTCTAACCATATTGCCTACCAACAAATGCAAAAATGAAAAAACTACAAACTAAAAACAAAAAAAAGAAGAAGAAATAGTGAAAAAAGAAATGGTAAGGAAGAAAAGAGAAAATAAAATAAAAAACAAAAAAAAGAGAATAAGATCTGATGAGGAGAGATAGATTAGAGAAATAGAGAGACAAAGATGGTTAATGATTAGCCAAGACGGCGAGGAAAACAAATGCAACGGTGAGGAAGATAAGAAAAAAGAAAAGAAAAAACTCAAAATAGGAGAGAAAGAGAGAGGAAGTGCACCAAGATCTGACGAGAAGAGGTGGAGAAGAGGCAGATTAGAGCAATAGAGAGAGGAATGGAGAGAGAAAGAGAGAGAACAAACAGAAAACCAAGATGTGAAGCGGAATAGATGGAGAGAGAAAAAAGAGAAGAAAAATCGAGAAGAAAAGAACTTGAATCTAACATACTCAATGCGCTAAACAAACAAAAAGTAGGGTCACATGAGGACGACGAAGTCGCACGCAGAACGGCCAAACTCATGGCTCTTTTATTACTTGGATTAATTTTCTTTACGCTAACAGTGATACACTTTCACTAGTAGATGCATGACACATAATCCAAATTTGAATTTGAAACTCAAATTTTGCGTATGTGTTATGAATCCAACCGTGATTAGTGTATATAAAATTTACTCTTATTACTTATGTAGATAACTTGTAATATTCTACAATCGACTTCAATTAACTAAATGTTGGGAAATAGTTTTTCTCCGACTTGTGATGGTAAAGAATCGTTGTTCTTATTTTGTCCTCAAAATGCCTATTTTTATTAGGATAATTAGGGTTACAAATGAATCGAACCGCTCGCGAACAGTTTGAGTCCGAACTTGACTTGAGCTCGATCAACATTGAGTTCGAGTCAAGTTCGAGTTGACCAAATCGAACTCGAGTTTGAACTTGAGTTCAAAGATATTCAGTTCGTTAGCTCACGAGCCTGCTTGATTATATATATATATATATGTGTGTGTATTATTTTAATAGTAAAATTACATATATATTCCTAATATTTTATTATTTGTTAAGAAAAATTATTATTTTATTCATTTCTAAAAATAAAATAATTATTTTTTTTTTTGAAGATCGAGTTCGAGTTCAAATTTCGAGCTTTACATTTTGAGCTCATGAAGTTTGAGCTCGGGTTCGATCTTCATAAAACTAAGTTGAGATTCGACTTGATTAGGCCAAAGTTCAACTCAACACGGCTCATTTGTACCCGTAGGGATAATGCACCAAATTGCACATTCACCTAAGAATTGTGGCAAATTTTTCGTAAAAGAAAAAAGCATAGGGCATTTGTTATATGGGAAAATGGCCAATTTAATTCTCAAACTTTTTTACTTAAACCAATTTCATCCTTCATTTTTTATTTAGATGTTTTTAGTCATTCAACTTAAATTTAGTAGCAATTTCATCCTTTTGTGGCGGTATTACTTTTTGACACAAAAATCACCACCAATTTAAGGGCACTATAGGAACTACAAGTTAAAGGTCAAAACAAAAAAATCAGAAAATGCTAGGGAGTAAAGCTGAAAACATTTCATTTTCTTCAATAAGCAGCTGCATCTCTGATTCTTCTTCTTCAACTAGCTCTTGCCAAACTTCCAAAGACAATATGTCTTTTTAAAAAAATAAATAAATAAAAACCTTCATCCACATTGTTTTTGTACATCATCATATGTCTTGTAATTTTAGCCTACAATTAAAACTTACCAACATATAAAATTTTCTTGATAAACTCAAAGAAAGTATTCAAATTAGCAAAATAGAGTAGTTGTTTTCTAAGCATTCCCTTGTCGATAGCTACCTTATCGTCGTTGTATCAGAGTTTGAAAAATCGCTTCCTTAAATCATCATGTTAAATTACATTTTCACTTTGAACTTTCAATTTACAATTTACAATTCAAACTTTTTCTTCGACCTCTTTACATCCTTATCCATCCCGTCCTGCTGCATAGCCCCCGTCGACAATTGAACTTCGATGCCAATAGTGGATTTTGTTAGGGAAATGAGACTTGACGAGTGGACTTGTATTGGGGTTGCAAAAAAAAAAAAAAAAAATTAGCAACTTTGAGTCTGGTTTTGGGGACTTGTGTTGGCTTTTGCAATTTTGTAGGGTTTCAGCATCAACCAAAGGTGGAGAAGAAGAACAATTTGGTTTATTGCATCTTTTGTTTTACTCCCCAAAACAATGGAAAATTGGTTTTCTCTCCAATGTAATCAAAAAATATTTTGCATTCATTGTTTTAAAAATGATCCCTATTTCATAATTCCTATATTGCCCTTGACTTGATGGTGATTTTTATGTCAAAAGAGTTTTACTCGCGGTGCTGTTGCAAAAGGCTGAAATTGGCTACTAATTTTAAGTTAAAAGACTAAAATTACCTAAATAAAAGATGAAGGATGAAACCACCTTAAGTTAAAAAGTTGAAGGACTAAATTGGCCATTTTCCCTTGCTATATTTGTATAGGGGACAAAATGTGCAATTTAATTTGGTGCCATTCTTTATTTAGGGGGAAAAAGAAAATGACATTCCGAGGACAAAGGGGGAGCAAATGCTAAAAGAGTCAACTGGATGAAATCCACTCTAATTGGCTAAATGTTAGTTTAATAATTGCGGTAAAATAGAAATAAAAATAAAAAGTTGAAGGTAATAAATTTCATAAATTAAAAGTTCAGGGCAAAAAGTGCAACCAATCCTTCTAAATCAAGCAAACTTATAGGAAAATTTCATAAAAGCCAAACAGCAGCTCTTGTATTAATTTAGGAGATCAAGTGGAGTATGTCTAAATAAACTTCAACAGGTAATTATTAGTACTGCTCGAAGGAAAAGAATAACAACCCGATAGATCTTGTCCAGTTCCCGTGCGCCATTTCCATTTCCCGTGCTTTTGTTTTGTGGCAGAGACGAGAGCAGCAGTCATAACCTGGGGATTTGAGGATGGTTTGTGATGTCGGATGCGCATTTGTGTTTTGAGTTCAAAGATCAGATCTAAAATCCTAAGCGGTAGCGGTAGCGGTAGCGGGGATATCACATCTCACTTAGCATTATTATTATTATACTCATTACCAATTTTGTTGCTTGCGATATCCATCATCAGTTTTTGCGACTAGACAAGGGATTTAGGGCTCTCTGCATCGTCCTGTTCTTATTATTCAAACCCCGGACCCGGGTGGGCGGGAGCAGCAGGGTAGTTTGTTCGCTGATTTGGGATTCTTGAGCTAGTTTTCAAGAATTTGGAATGTGAATATTTACAGCTAACCAGTAGTAGTGGTCGGGTTCCGGAGGGAGGGGGGGATCAGGAGGAGGAAGAGGTCGATACTAAGAGCAATTATGTTTTGGAGGGATAGAGGAACCACGGCAACATCAAGAAGCAGCACCAGTAGTTTTAGTAGTAGCAGAGACAACAGCAGCAGAGAGCACAATGGCGGGCCGCCTTATGGCCAAGTTCGAGTTCTTATCATTGGAGATTCTGGTTACTAACTACTCCTCCTCGCTCTTTCCTCTTTATTATTAATTTAATTGTGCCTACTGCTTCGTCTGCTCCCTTTGATTTTGATGGGTGATTAATCAATTGCTATGAGTTTTCAGCTTCGATGCGACGTAGGTCTTCTTAGTACATTAAATTTGCTAATTCAATCACGTAATGCTGCTAAAAATGTTCATGGAATTGGGTTTGAGAGCTTTTCAGCGTATTTTCTGGTCTAGGAGCTATTGGGGTATGCTGCTATAAGCCTTCAGCGTATTTTCTATGCAAATGTCTATACGACGGCTAGAAAATTAGGAAGGCCACGTGTCTCTAACTGTCTCGATTATAACCATCAACAGCTAGCAAGAGAGAAAAAATGAGCATGCCATTACTAGCTATAGACTTGGGCTGACATTTACCTTTTAAAGGAACCCCTTTCCCTGCCATTCTTTCTAACTTTGAAGACCTTTTATGCTAGTAGGAGGTGGCTGTATCTTTTACCAGCCAGTATCTGAAATGAATTATGTAGAACTGTAAACACTTCCAAAGCTAAAGGAAGAATTTGCCTCCTACCTAGCTTTACCACTTTTAACCTTTCTGGTTGGGGTTTATATTTAAAAGCCACCCATTCTTCCTTTACGCCACAGTATAGATTTAGGACTGTGACATCTTCTTCATACACCTTGAATGTTCAGTATTTAACTTTGGGGTCTGAAGATGACTTTAGCCAAATGAAATTTAAAAATAAAAAGGACTGCTGATTGGAGCAGCTGCACCTGCAAGATTTTGAAGCTCCTACATTTTTCATTTGAAAGACTGAAGGTGGTTTAGCAGATCCTTACTATACTGTGCGCTCAATCCCAGAATGCTGAAATTCCATTGCATGGATCATGCCCTAAATGGTGCTTGGAGAAAATTTGTCCGTCTGGATACTTCTCTTTCCAGAGCACCTATCATCCTTAAGGGTCTCAAAAGAAGCTGCCCCTTTTAGCATGTTTTATTCATTTCATGATTTCTCCTGGTTGGCATCCCAGGCTTAACTTTCTAATTTACACGATCAATACTCTTAGGTTACAGTGAGAGGACAACATAAAGATCACATGTATTTCAAGAGCTACTAGTAGAGAGCTTAGCAGTTATAGAGATTTTGGAGAAGCTTGTATACTGTTGTAGACATTTGTAGCTTTTCTTACTCCAGAATGTGATGCTCCATGCAATCTTGTGATTTGGAACATGTTGATGTGGTTCATGTGATTCCACTTTATGCTGGTAACCTTTGTTCAACATTATGGTTATAAACTTATGGGAATAAAAAAATGTGGGGAATGGCATTAGTATGTGTTGAAGTTGAAGTACTGTTTCAGTTCTAATGTATTATAATTTAGCAAGCCAATTTCATAAGTTTTGTGTGCTGCTGAAACAGAGCCTTAATCTTTGGTTCTTTTTTTTTTCCCCCCAAATACTATATCCTAATTTAAATCTACTGTTTAGGTGTGGGGAAAAGTTCTCTTGCTCATCTGATTGTCAAAGGTTCTTCCATAACTCGCCCTTCCCAAACAATTGGCTGTTCTGTTGAAGTCACGGTCAGACTCTATACTCCATTACTGAAATGCTATCCTCCGCCTGCAGTTTGATTTTGTTTTTTGATGTTGTGATTTCATTGTTGCAGCATATAACTTACGGATCATCTGGCAGCTCATCAAATAACATTGAAGGTGACAAGGAGAGGGGTTTTTTTGTTGAGCTTTGGGATATATCAGGACATGAAAGATACAGAGACTGTCGTTCTCTATTCTATTCACAAATCAATGGTAAGCAATGGGTTTCTAGCTCAATCCTTACCATGTGCTTGGAAATGATTGGCATGAATGGATGTAAAATATATATAGAGGATGGTTTTAGAAAAGTTTAATATTGCCAATACCTGGAATTTTCATGAGTTCTGTTACTCTTGAATATGTTGTGCTCTTGTGGTTGGAACAATGAGTAAGATAATCGGGAGAAGAGATACGCTTGAGACTTAAAATTATGAGAATGTTTATGAGAAGTACTAAAAGTTATAAAGCTGCTTTCCAATCCCTCTAATAACATGTTACAGAACTGTTTTAGAAAATATTCAAAATCTGACTGCAAGCATGGCACATATCTTTAAGAATAAAGGTTTACTAGGCCATAATCTTTTTTGGATGTCCATAAACATAAGTCGTCCTGGCCTTCCCTATTGATATTACCATCCGAGGTAATGGATCACCTAGCTTCCTGACCCTGTCCATTTTTTTTTTAAAGCAAATGTAGATCATTTTTTTATTGATGATAACAAGGGATTATCCCACCTATGTGAAAAACAAACACTAATCTCTGCATATGCTATGCTAAAAGATGTTGCAAAACTGCTCAAGAGAGAGACCCTGTCCATTACTCACACTTCATTTTTCTGAATAGTGTTAGAATAGTGTTACCCAAGAGAAGGCGTCATTTTCTGATGTTTAATTTTTGTACTACCACATGATTACTGATTCCTCTATATTTTCACTTAACTCTGGAGGGTTGATTTCTGGTCTCTCAGCCACTCTCCATTTGTTAACTATTAGCCTAGTCCAAACAGTGGCTGATCAATTTGCTGATTTTGCTGATCAAATCAGCAAATCATGATTATGGTCTCTCAGAATTTGCTTATATTTCTATCATGACCCAATTTTGAGTGATCAGAATTTGCAGCTACTAGTTAACAAATTGATCAGCAAATTTTGCCAAGCATGTGCTCAATTTGGACTATTAGCCTAGTCCAATTGATCTGCAAAAAAGTAGTTATTCTCTTGCTAACTTTTTGAATAAGTTATACTTTGGCCATCCAATTCTCTTTATCAACCTTGTGTAATCACTTTGTATTTTGAACTCGTATCATATATCCCTTTAAAATCTAATGGGGAATGATATCAGAAACTAGAGGACTTAAAGGAAAATAATTAAAGGATGATGGTTCAAATGAGATCTGGTCGAGATATTCGAGCTTCTGGTGAAAACCAGCAACTGAATGTTTCATTGTGTTGTTTAATTATTTGCTTGTGTATTTATGATTGTAATTCTTCTTCTCCTTCTTGCCTAAAATTTCTTTTTAGGCGTTATTTTTGTTCATGATCTCTCACAGAGAAGAACAAAGTCAAGCTTACAGAAGTGGGCTGCAGAGATTGCAGCAACTGGGACATTTTCGGCCCCTCTTGCATCGGGAGGGCCTGGAGGCCTCCCAGTTCCTTACATTGTTATTGGAAACAAAGCAGATATTGCTGCAAAAGAAGGAATAAGAGGTAGCAGTGGCAATCTTGTAGATGCAGCACGTCAATGGGTTGAGAAGCAGGGTTTGCTTCCTTCAAGTGAGGAACTCCCACTGACCGAGAGTTTCCCAGGATCTGGTGGCCTTGTAGCAGTAAGTGGCAGAAACTGAAACTGCTTTCCTGCACCTTTTTTTTTGGGTGGTGGTGGTCATTTTTGTCAATTGGCAGAATAGTTGGATCTCAGTAGGTATGAAAATCAGTTGCCAACACCTACTTTGATGGTAACCTAGCATAGCCTTTAGGGTTGATTTTATTAGGAGTGTTGGCTTTATCCTGTGACGGAAATTTGATAGTGCTAGAGCTTAGTAAATTACCTCATGATTCAGTAAAGCAAATAAAGGTTACCATGTGCTGTTGAAAGGGGATTAATAAGATATGAGGGAAGAAAGACACCTGTGCCACATTAATTTATGAATTTTGTCAGTTTTTAATAAGTGGTTTTCTCTAGGAATCAACTTTTTATTTATTAGCCTATGTACGATTGGGATTCTTGTCCTTGTGATTGACATTATTGAATTGCACATGATCTATTAAGATCTAAGGTTTATAGGAAACTAAGACCATGGAGAGACATATTATTGTTGGTATTACCATGGTATGGAAAGTGATACCATATTGAGTAGGAAGAGTCTCAACTTTTAAAATAATTTCATTGTGGCTTCTTGTATAATGAGCATAACGGGGGCATGTCATGTTCTTCTACTCTTCCATAACCTTTAATCATATTTTTCCTTCTTTTTTTTTTTTTTTTGAGATTAACATCATGTAAAAGTAATTTGTAAACATTATGAATTAGCTTATTTAAAGAGTCGAAGATTGGACATTAGTTGTGAAGAAAGTTTCAATTGTCGTGGCAATCTAGGTGCAACATTCTTGTCCACATTTCATGATCTATTGATTTGCTAGAACGCAGAACAATTAGCAACTGTTGAACTAAGCAGCCATAATTCAACAGTTCAAGTCGTGTTGCTTCCATAAAGAGGTGGTGGGTACGTCTTAAGATGAATGAGCATCTATGCTGGATGCTCTCGATTACCTCGGTAGTTATACTGCATCTTGGTGGTTCTGTTTAGTGGATGTGAGCAAAACCACTTGTCTGCCTGTTAGTGTGTGAAGCTTTTTAAGCAAGCAAGATAGCTTTCTTATATCAAATTTCCTGGTAAATTAGAAGTGTCTGGTTTGATAAGAAACGTGTCTTGTCTTCACTTGTGGGTGTTCTTGTATTTCTTGTGAGTCCGTTGCTATTGGTGGCGACTTTTTGCAGAAGTTGATGGTAATATACTGAATATAGGATTTATTTGCACTTCATTTTGGACATCAAATGAGCTACATGTATATACCCTAGATTATAAATCTTTTATGCAGGGAATCTCTTTATTAGATGCCTTTCCCAATGTTTTAATTTGAGAACATTTATAGCGTCTAGAAATTTTATCCATTTGGATATATAACTTAGCTTTTTCTTTTGTTAACAAACAGGCTGCAAAAGAATCCAGATATGACAAAGAAGCTGTGATGAAGTTCTTTCGTATGGTCTGTACTTTCCCTGTTAGATCTTTTGTGACTAAAGTTTATATTCTATTCAATCGTCTAAAGGTTACGGACTTTTTAACAGTTGATCAGGAGGAGATACTTCTCAGACAGTTTACCTGTTACAAGTTCATGGTCTAGCCCACTTCATGGAGTATCCCATAGATCGGATGAAATTTCAAGTGATGAGGATCATTCGTACAAAACTTCAAGGTATGAGAGGCCTAGGTTTCTTATCTTGATATAGAGGGTATTGCATTAACTTTTACCAATCATACTACAGAGTATGATATATTTGAGCTCTCTAGTCTAATTATATATGATGCATGATGACGGTTTTGGTGAAATGCCACTTTGCACATATGTCCTAAATGCCCTTTACTATGTTAACTTCCTTCTTCCTCACTTAACCTTATCCTACTTCTTTCTGTCATTCCTTAACCTTTGAATTTCAGTAAAACAACATTCGTTCTTTTACACCCATACACGCATGCACACATTCGTGTGACCACACAGGTTGAGGATTTATGTGTACATTGTTTTGCTGTGCCACAGAAATTAGTGGTTGATAATGCTTTTCACTAGGTTGTACTGTGAAAACTTTCTTATCTTAACTGCCCAATGTACCTCTACTTTCTTGAGCTATACTTACATCATTCTATCTGGTATCATATGGTTGACTTGTGTGTTATGTACTGTGGCTGGGTATCAGGAGGGAGATGGTCTCTTTTTTGGGGAAGTTGTAAAAAAAGAATGCAAGTCAATAAACCTGTATATCTGGAGGAGAGTTACTAGTCTTGCTTTTTGTTCTGGATGACTATTTGTCTTTGGGATTTTGCTTTTGGATTAATTTGTCATTAACATCTTCACCATCTAAAGTTGATAAGAAACAGGGAGGTGCTAGGAAATAATATTTGAGAAGGTAATACACCAATTCTCTTGCCGGAGATATTACAAAGCTTGCAACAATTCTAAACCTATTGATTGAGCCGTTTGTGGTGGAAGTGCAACTTTAAGTTTCTGCATCATTGACTGTCACCAAATTCTTTGAACTTCTGCTTGCGGTTTTCCCTTTTTTTTTTTTTGGGTTTTTTGTGGGGGGGGGGGGGGGGGGGGGGGAATTAGTCCTGCTTGTGCTTCAACAGATGAATCAGTACTAATTCTAGGAAAAATTCCTCTGTCTACACCTCTTAGCCAGGATTAGTACAAGGAGTATAGATATGGATAAGTACATCTGAAATTTTTTGTTATAAGTTGGCAGGGAAATATCATAATACATGAACAGATAAGTTATTCTTGCTCCAAATTTAGGATGCGAGATGGGGTGATAATTCAATGCTTAGTGTTTAAGTTTTTATGTGAAAATTAATTTGAAAATTTGTATACAATCGTGATTTATGTGCCTCAACTTTTAGATGTTAAATTATTAGTCCTGTCAAGTTTTAGCGTACAACCAGTTATTATATTATTGAAAACCTTGCAAGTTATTACTACTGAGGAATGTAGGCCAGCATCAACTACCTTAGGCAATTCAATAACTTGGCTATTGTTGTCAAAGTAACAAATTGTAACGATAACTTTCTGAGAAGCCAAGTTGGTAATAGGATCAGTTTTGTTGCTAATTCTCTAGGTCGATTCTGTGGTGCTTCCAGAATTCTTTTGTGCGTGCGCGTCTGTGTGTGTTGGGGGGAGGGAGGATTTATGTCGTTATTGCTTGTCTAGTGAATGCTATCTACAGAAGTTTTTAAGTACATGAGATGTCTTTTTCCGCAATTGCTTAGGCACAGATTCCACTGTGCTACAGTATAATCAGTGTATCTCGCGTAGATTTGTTCTACTTTCTTTTGTACAAAATATGAGATTCCTTACAAGCAGCCTTAGTATCATTTCAATCTTGGCACTCGGTTTGATTTCAATGTCTGCCTTTTGCAGTTTGGCTGCTGACCCTTACAAATATAATGCGCTTCCTCCACTACCTGCTCAACGCAATCTCACCCCACCTCCCACGCTCTACCCACAGCAGCCCATGACCACACCCGACAATTATAACATCCCTAGATTTGCCTTAATGGGTTCGCAGGAGATGAGTAGTGCCAGATCAAAGCGCAAAGATATTAATGTTTGATTATCTTGGTCATTGATTCATCTCCTTCTTCAATAGCATTTGGCCTGCTGAAATATTTTTGCTTTCACTTGCCAATTATTGGTGCATTCATTCTTTCGCCGGGGTTAAGGTGTTCACTGTATATTGCAGTATGCAGACCTGTGTAGTGAGTGATGATGAGTCACTTGAATACCTAGGCAATTTTGTTATCTTGCTCAATTCCATTGTTGCGTTCTCATTCGTCCATTTTCTACACCTCTAGTTCAGTGATGTAAATCTATGCCAAAAAAAAAAAAAAAAAAACCTTCCGAGGGAAGTGTAGAAACAAGCGTGTTTTTGGAGCTCTTTTCTTTGCAAGAAATACTGAAAATTCAAAGCGATTACTTTTTCTTGATCTCTGTTGCTCCGGTCCTGGATTGCCCATCTATGTTTTGATGAACTTTGTGTTGGGATATCCGAGCCTGTAACAGCTGCCGTCAAACGCTCCACGCTACTCCAGTCCAGGATCTCTTACCTGTCGATATATGCCGCAGCAGGATGATTTGACAGAAATGGATTGTTGAATTGTCATGGACATGACTCTATAATATGACCTTGCAACTGTCATTCATCCATCCAAGTTAATCCAACTTCTTTTGTTCCTCTGTGACTGTAAATTGCATTTAAACTTACGCTTTATTAACCTGTTTGCTTTGGTTACTGGACTACTAGAAAGACATTGGAAGTTTACAATTCCGACAAAATATTGGAAGTTTTCTATTTTGTTTTTTATTCTTTCCCCTTTTCCGTTTAAGTTTATTGTTTTCCAAAAAATACTACTCGTTAATCACCGAGATCCAACTTCAATTTAACCTCGCAGACACAAGTTTGTTCCAAACAAAATAGTACAAGGAAAAATGTGGCAGACTTGATGCAAAAATTCATTACCAGCTCGCATCTAGAAGACGGTGAACAACAAACTACAGTAATAACTATAATGAGTAGAAGCTTCCAAAATTTTCCTATCAAAAGTAGAAGAGCAGCTACATAAATCCCTGATTTTGGCCCCCGCTATAGAAGAGCAGCTACATATCTTGCATGTCGGAATCTTGATTTTGGCCCCCTGCCAGAAAACAAAAAGGAAACAAACATTCACATAGTCCTCTCCAAAAACGCATAATGAGTATCAAAAGACTATAATAGAGTAGACCAGTTACTTCTATGGCACTGTTTGGTGTTTTTAGCAAACCATGCACGATCGGATGCTACACAGAAATCCACTAGCCAGTCACCATGACAAAATCCTCATTCATCAGCTTCACACATTCATTGCACAATACAGGAATTATTCATTCTCCAAATGAATACAAAATAAGAATCTACAAAGCACCCGGAATCTTCATCACTTAGTTTCCACCTATCAGGGTATATCATGTACTGATGATACAGGACACATGATTTTTTAACAAGTCAGGACTCGTACGGTAATTAATTACCAGTTGCTTGTCAGTAATGACCCGAAACTTGAGATTCAAGAAAATTAAAAGTACAAACCTGAGACTTGGAAAACTAAGTTAACCTCCATTTTGCCTTGACGGCATTAAACAGATTAGACGTTAATCAAATGAAAGCACTCCATCCATCTCTATATTAATGATTCGAAATAAAGAAATGCAACACCTTTTCACTAGCATCAATTCAAAGGTATGATTTCTTTCTGAATTCTTTAGGAACCTTCAAACACTTTTAGCAGGTATTTGTCAATGCGATAACACAAGTTATGTAATCCAGAAAAGTAGAAAACCAAAGTTCGACAAGATCATTACCATCCTTAAGCTATATAAAAGAAAGGTACGCGCCTAAAATATTTAATTAAACCAAGACGTTTAGCATTTCCTTCTTACAATTAAGTACCCCCACCCTTCAATAAATGCTTCATGCTCCTATTAAAGAGCAACCAAGCTGCCAAATGGCAAGTTCAAAGGTGCCCCAGAGAAGAAATTTCTGTAAGGAGGGGCAGACAATTCTGAAAGTTTCTTCTCAATGGGAAAAAAAATTGGATTAATTGTAGTAAAACTGGTCAACAACAACATGGGTATGCCAATACAAATTACCACATCTTGATAAACTAATATTAGTGGCCAAAGTTAACAACCCAATGGGATGATCCAATAAATTGCACAACTACCGCACGATTTTTTGTGTTTAACTAAGACTGGTTTTTTCTGCCTTTCGCTATTTGTTATTCTCCAAATATGTGCTTAATTAATGTCTTCTACCTCGTTACTTTATCACTGTAAATTTTGCCCACCACTGTGAAAGTCCAACTCCTAAGAGTGCTCAACCTCATGTTTGACTATGATTTACGTAGAGACTCCAATTTTAGTTTCACAGAACACAGTCTTATGTAATAAAGTCAAGATTTGTCAATCATCTTGTCAATGTTACCAAAAGAGTGACACTTAAATCTTTAAAGCCATTTATGTATTCTCTCTGTCCCCATTTTTTCCATTCAAGTCCATTTCCGATCAACCTGAAATTTCAGATATTCAACTAAAGCACATTGCTTACAACCAACCCAAAAAAAGAATAAACTGAATCACATTTCTTAAACAGCATACATGATCACTGAAACAGGATAAACTAATAATTAGCATGCTGAAGAAAGGAAGTTATCTATGAATAGTTATATATAATTGGCTAAAACAATGAAAGACATTTTAAATAATAGAATCATAAAATTTTACAGGTTCTTGACAATAACTAAGAATGAAATTTAACACAGAAGGCAAATCAGTAAGTTAAACCAAACACCTGATATGCACACAAAACACTTCTCTCATAATTTATTATTTTATTTTATTTTTTTTGGCATTCAGTGTCCAAAACTAATGACCTCTTACCAGTCAAAAATGAATAAATAAGCATAATGTCCTCCAGGCTCAATGTAAAAATTTTGAATTAAGGCCAGGAAGGCAGCCAGTAATTCTGTCTCAGTACCCTGGAGGTGTAATGATGACAACCGAAGGCATGGTGCTATCAACAACAACGCGAGAGAGACAGAGCTTAAAAGATTATATAATCCTAAAAGCTATCAAATTTGTCATTGAATATCCTACTGAAACGCCATGCATCATTTTAATTGATCTCCAGTTTCCATTAATTCATTCTTCTGTTCGCCCAGGCTCTAACACTCTTTTAACTTGTAGGGTCTAAAACCAGAGGCACAAGGTAAAAGAAGATTAGAAAAGACTCTTGCAGCCCCTTATTGTGATCCTCAGAAGCTTCTTCATGTCCATTCTAGATAGGTTAATTAGATTACCAAATAACAGAAAGTTGGACAAACTATAATATCATCACAAATTTGCAAAACCTACGGGATAGAAGAATCTGTATGCTGGAGGACAAGCTTATGAACTACTTTTAGCAACAACTGACAGACAAACAACTGGCCTGCTAGCATTAATACATGTCCATTCTAACTGCCAATGTGGAAGACTTATTCCAAGTTGACCTTTATGCAATGCAAAAAATTCTAATTTCATCAATGTACACCTAAGCTATAAAAGGAACGCTTTATCAAAAAGCAAGGCCCCTCCCACAAGAAGGAAGCAAAGACCCAAAACAGCATAAGCATTCAGAATCAAACAGTTTGTAAGCGTGTGGAAATTGTAATCAAAACTAAAAAAAATTGTCTTCATTTCTATAATATGTCAAAGTCACAAAAGTGTGTCCAAATACAACTAAACAACCATCTTTTGTAACATACAACCATATTCTCAGGCAATCATACAAAAAAACCAGCATGTACAGACAAAAAAATTTTTAATTAGTGCACTGTGTTTATCTTTTTCAAAAAAAGACAAATCTATTGAGATAGAGGGAGGGAGGAAGGGAGGGAGTTGAGACTAAACATTATGATAAGGCAGGATAAACCATGTCAAGGACAGTAATATCCAACTTTATCCTCTTAGAGGCTAGAATCTCAACTTTATCCTGCAATCTACAGCTTGTAATTTGCTCTAGCAATTTTTTATAATGATAAAATGCTTGGCATACAAAATTATACCAATAGGTGTTGCAAAACTACAGAATCAGCATATGCAAGTCTCTGTTGGTTTAAGCAAAAAGTTGGTAGACTAAATCCACATCATGCATCAATCTAAAGTACATGGTGCAAATACAAACATAGAATTTGACCACATTGACATGTGATATGATTATTTAAAATCTGTCACCAACGCTGTACTTTTTTTTTTTTTAACTTCCGTCAATGCTTGTGTCCATCAAAAGTTAATCTGCAATAAACATTTTATTTGTTTATTTAGCTCCTTTGTGTACATCTTAATTTTACTACATAAAAGGATAGTACTGCTTGTAATCAGGCAGTGTCTCCCGTTGTCTGGTTGTATCCTCTTTCACCAAAAGAAGGTTAAAAAAAACAAAACCACTGCCATGATCAAAAGCCTAATTGTACCCCAGTAAATCAACCATTGCTACATGCTAATGCACATTTGCCCTACAGCTAATGAATCCTCGCAGTTTGCTTCTCCAGTTACAAATTTTCAATCAAATCATGATCCCCTATTTACCAACTCCACATTAATCAGGGCAGAAGTTAACATCTTTCCTCCATTGTTAAAGTCAATAAATCTACAACCACTAAGCTAGAAATTGTAGCCAATTACCTATTCCAGAATTTGTTTTCATTTTTTAGTGTAAAAACCATTTAACAAGCAACCAAGACAAATTAAGTTTATCTTTACTAAAATCTTGTCAATTTTTCACTTTTAATGATAGGACAATTAACAAAATTGATACAAAAGATATTTTGGATCGCATGCACATTGAGTGAGCCAGAATTGTTATGAACATAAAGAAAAGGGGATAACGCTCATAATTGGGTCTCTAAGTTTTAACTCTATAAAAGGAAAACAACCCACAAAATTACTCATAGCTACCTACATAATAAAAGAAGCATCAAATATAAGAATTTTTTCCATACAATTAAGTGACATTACCCATACCATCAGAAATTGAAAACATTGCTAAAGTAAATAGTTTAAAATTAACAGCAAAACTTTCAAAACTAGATTATGTGCAAAATAAATCTTCCTGGTTTATCCATAATTTCAAATTTGTGAAAATAGGAACCAAACCCCTCTGCCAAAATACCACAAAAAATTTTGGGTTTGGATGTCACACCTCACCGGTTTACACACATGACCAAAACGCTTGGCTATTTCTAATCCTGATAAACTCTTATGCAACTCTACAAATCACAAGCTACTGTACTGAAGTTTGCATCCACCAGTAAAAGCAAGCTTCAAGTTCACTAGGACACCTAAATCATTGACCGATAAATCCAGACTCACACTTTCGTCCTCAACCATCTTGTGAAACGCATAAAAAGAAATCAATATCTCTTGCAACTCTTATTCCAGCTTATGCTTTGCCACTTAATAGCAATGATAATAACCAAATTTAAAGAAACTGGTCAATGTAAAACAGAAAAGAAGTTAACAAACCTCTTCGTGCTTACTTCTCGTGAGTCTTCCTTGAGTTCCAAAAACTAGGGAAATATCCTGCTGCAATATACTGACAACCAAAAAAGTTGATTAAATTTTTACAATCCCTTTCCCCACCGTCACCCTCTGAAGCATTTAATTGACTTAAGTAAGTCTTCCCTCTATATACGTAGGAGAGCTGTTGCCACAAAAGTACGCTTAAACCAATCCCCACTGAGACACTAGCGATGAAAAGGTAAACCAGAACAAGCCCTCTTGGTGTAAGAAAGACAGCAGATCTCAGCAATGCAAAAGCAGATTCTTTCAAGAAGTTCAAGGTGAACTCATAAGAAAGAAGCCTGTTTAGAGGTTGATTGGCCACATAATTTACTGGTGGCCAGACATGAAGTGCTGCATAAAAAGATATAGTTGAGACATAGATTGTACTCATTACAGCTGAAATGAGGAAGATGATGAAGCACCGGTGATTAGCTGCACCAACACAGTTTCCAATCTGCAGACAGAGGGTAAATAACTGAAAAATAGATCTTGCCTATCAACAGACTATTGAAAAGTAATCAATTAATCAGGAAATATAGACTCAACAGACTATCGAAAATTAATCAATTAATCAGGAAAAATAGACCAGATGTTTTGTTCCGCATATGAGTATAAAATGACACAAAAAGGACTTTGCTTTGGCAAATTGTTTATCCTAACATGTACATTAGCACAACATCATTTTGTGCTTTCTCTATCCTTGTCTTCCAATTGCATTTGAATTGTCATTGAAAGACTTCAAGTAGAAAATAGAATTTTTTCAAAAAATGCATTTTATGAGCAAAGCATTCACTCCAACTTCAAAGCAACCACCAAATAAACTGTCCCAACTGCCAAGCAGCGCTCAAGAACTTGCACTGCACTTACAGCAGCTACTACTATTGCAAGTGCTTGAGTCCCATACAGTATCAACTCTTAGTAAATTGTTGTGTTGGATCATTCAATCCTATCGTCAAATGCATACTCAAATCATACAATTGATGTGACCCCTATATATTGAAGGACAGATCCTTTACATCTTTTTCCTTATATTTGAGGGTCGCAGGAGACATCTGCCGTGCCATCAACAATGTCATAGGCAAACTGGATATTCAATCGAATACTCATACATAGTGAAAGTTCAATAGCAAAATGGAAATTATTAGAATCAAGGAAAAAAATTGTGAATTTTCAAAAGAAAATCTGAAAATCTTAAGGATGAAGAGCATGTTTATACAGTGTACCACGTGTACTCGAGGGAAAAAGAAAAAAGGAAAAAAAAAAACCATTTGCCCATTATTTAGAGGGAAGCAAAAAGAATCATAATGATATAACAAAATGAACAACATTTCTCAGCATAAGGTTACAATAACAAAAGAATAGGAAGCTTGGGCAAATACAATTGAATAGCCATAAAGCTATGAAAACAAAAAAGGAAGCTTTGACGAAAATATTGACAAAATTTCGCCACAAACCAAAAATAAATAAATTAGTATTATGAACAAGACTGAAAGTTTCAAAGAACTGGAACTGGTTGATATTGTAGTTCAATTCTTTGTCCTATTTCCAAATCAAATATTGCTCTTTCTTTTCCCAAACAAATATAAATTGTCCGTGACAAATTACTCATACAGGATAACTATCAATTTCAATTGATTTGTGAAGTTCTACTTGTACAGGATAACTATCAACTCTAATTGATTTATGGAGTTCCCTTAAAATTTCAAACCAAGTGCATCTACTTTTATCCTAATTTAAGTCAAAAAGTCCTGAACTGAAATCTTACAATTACAACGCCCTTTGGTTTTAAATCATATATCTTTCTCTTATGCTAAAACAGAAAAATGCTGGTCAATACTCACAAATGGGCAGTGATGATCCATGTCTAATACACACATTCCGCACGAACTGCAATGGTGCGTCCTTGATGACTTAGGCTTTGAACAGTGGTGACAAAAGGTATAGTTCTCAAGTCCACCTTTTCCTACTGCCGGGTAGCTACCCCACAATATCCTTGGTGGAACACCAGGAGACAGAAATGATGCTAGGCCAAACGAAGATAATGTAGATACAGATAGTATTAGAGTTATCGTGGAGTGGAAAATTCCCCAGAAAAAACTGATTGAGAAAACAACAGGATAGACTGCCCAGATGCCACCACCTGCACTAAGATGGAAACAGTTTTAAGAACAAGATCAATTACTTTATAACGAAAAAACCAGGAAAGCAACAACTATGCCCCTAACCGGTTTTCGTTGAGTTTTTTACTGCATAAAAAAAGAGAACTTTGGCACTTTTTCTTCCACAACAACCAGACATTGCACAAGATTATAAAGAGAAAACACATCATTATTCGAAATACTAATGCAACCTTTCATTTGATCAGCTTTGAATGGACAAAATGGTTGCATTTCATGCAATGAAAATAAAAGTCTAGGTTATTCATCCAAATTAACTTGTGTGCAAAAACATCCATCAGCTGAAAGTAAGTGCAACAATAAGAGACAAGTGTGACAACAGCATTAAAGAGAATTCATTCCTTAAATAAATTAAACATGGATCCAAAAAAATAGCCTGGAATTTTATCTAATTACTGTCTGTGGCTGGACAAGCCATAATCTGCTGTGCAACTACTAATTCCCAAAAGGTGAATACACTCCACACTGACTTTAGACTCCTTTACTACCTACTGGCTTAAGTCCAAAACAACTCTCAACTTGCATGGTTACACAGGCAGAAACAATTAGATGAGACTCTCAACTTGCATAGTAACACAGAGAGAAACAATTAGATGACAAACAAGTTTCTGATAAACATAATGATCAACACTAAAAGAGGAAAAAAATAGAAAGGAAAGTCACCGAAACAGCAGGTTGTTTAGCACCAGGAATCTTTTCTGCAGGCGGTTTGAGGGAAAGGCAATAGGAAACAATAAACCAGTATATCTTAAGAAAACAGTGACAGGAATTTTCATCTTCCTGATCTTCTCAGCCTTGATAGTAGGTGTGAGCATTGTCATCAGGAAACATGTAATAATTCACATCTTTGCAGATGCAAAGTATGGGCCTGTTCTCAACTACTTTTTCACACCTGTTTTTAGCTTCTGGTTTTAAATGAAATTTGTTATGTAATGTTTTCAAGTGCTTTTTATTTCAGCTTTTGGCTTTTTTAATGCTGAAAAGGGTCAAAATCGGAAGTTACAAGAGACCTTCTTTCTGGATTCTGATTTGAGATTTTACAAAATCAAAAGCCACCAGGAACATGTCCCAAGTACAAGACTAATCATACCAAAGCAAGGTCCAAGTGAATTTCGACCCTTCTTCAACAATGAGCTTAATTGTTACGTTAGACAAAAAGTCACAAGAAGATTAAAACTCAACGTAGTTTTCTGATCCAACACCACTTCACAGAGAAATATTACTACAGAAGTATTTGTAACATTTCCAAAGCCTAGTCAACGGAAGAAGCAATGTGTGCAGCACCATTTAACACTTGAATTCTTTCCTACCTCCTCTCCTATTAACTTTCCAGGATCTAGCAATTCCAATTGTGCAAAACATAGAAATAATGCCAACACATTTTATATCAAGATATTTCTTATACGTTTTTCCATGAGGACATCACATAAAATGTTCTCCTGTCTAATGTATCCAAAATCATGTTGGACGCTGTGACTTGTATCATGTCCATTTAAAATCTTCTCAATCAAATTGTCCAACACCATGATATAAAACAAATATACACAGATGAATAATAATAAGCATAAACCACTAACTTTGACGTCAATTCCATTCAACATGACCCAAGAACAAGTTGACAAGGATCTTGACCTGTTTACACTTTTTCTGATTCACACCAACTCACATCATCTCTCATACACCATAACCACTCTTCTCAGATTAAGAAACTCTAACCCCTATTTTAGGAAGAAAGCACGAAGTTTAAATAAGCACAAAGATAAACAGAAAAACTTTCACCAAGAAAACTGAATAGTGTTATATTTAAAAGGAGAAACATAAAAGACATTTAATATATTCCTCTGATCATAATGGCAAGAATGATGAACCCAAAAAAATGTAAATCTCCTGGCAATCAAGAGGGTAAAGGCGAGCCCTATTTCAATATTCTGTTGGAAAAACTTTGAAGCATATTCTTTTTATTTGACCTCTGTACGTAGATTAGAGAACACACAACCACTTTCAGCAATGTCAATGAAGAAATCATGTTTAAAATATTACCACCCACTGATGCCCAATGGCAGAAGGAAAGCACATGCAATGCAGCAGCTAGGCTAGGGAAATGCATAAAGCGCATGGCATAATTATAGCTTCTTACATATTATAAAAAGCATGAACAAAAGGACGAAAACAACAAAGCAACGATCTCGCAAACGTCTCCACTTATAGTACTGCTTATTATTTTTCAATGCATTTCTGTTAGTTATTGCTCCACACCAGCCACATTTGAAAACAGGTGCATGAGGTGAAACAAGAAGACGGACTCCACAGCCCCAACACGTTGTCTCGTGATCTGCCTCAATTGATGTTACATAATGCTCCTACAAAAGAAGGAACAAGTTGGCCACAAATCAAAACATAGAGATTACCTTTTTCCTCTTCTTTTAGATTGGACATTAGGGAGGGGGGAGGAAGCACAAGAGTGAAAGAAACTTAAAAACCCCACTAAAACTTCACTACTTTTTGATACACAAGCAGACCTCATATTAGCACCATCTAAGCAGGATAAAAATAATTAGAACAGAATTCTTTCTCGACTTCATTATGAAGGTCCAAATATCTTTCTATTTTTCAATCATAAGTACGAAAGTAGCTTCTTGATTCAAACAATTATCCCTTGCCCCCTCCTTTGCTCCCTCCCTCCTATTGTTATAATGTAAACAAGAATGACAGATAGATATGCTAAATATCAAAAAATTGAGTTGTTATTACATTCTACTGACTGAAATATTAGTATATCATATACCCAAACTTCCAACTAAAAGAAAGACAGCTAAAGACAGCAGCTTGACTAAAATTATATATTCCCAGCTGTAGATGCACAATAAATATAAATTACATTCAACTTTGATATTACAAATACAACATGGATAAGAAAAGACAACCATAAGAAGACAGCACAAGACTCAAAGACAAACATGTTATTATTCTCCACTTCCTGCAGTAGTTCGTTCGTTACTACAACCTTCCTCATCTAAGCGTACCTAGGTATCCACCATACGCCTTTTGTCATTTGAACCCTCAGCCTTCACCTCCACTTTCAGGCGATATGGTTCTGCTAAATTTAGTGTATCTTACTATGTCCTTAAAAATAGAATATGGAACACACACACACACACATACACATATATCTATATATACATATATATATGTATATCTCTGTGTGTGTGTGTGAGTATGTATCTATGTATGTATGTATGTATGCACACACACACACATATATGCATACATATATATATTTACACACACACATATATATGTATACACACAATTATGTATGTAATACACACATACATACATGCATATGATAGAGATAAGTCGCAAAAAGGAGATGTGGGAAGGATGTGTCGAATGCACAAGCATTGATTTGGCATGCTTTTGATGACAAGGAACCAACTTGGGAGTTGGTTTGAATTCTATGGAGTTTGTTTTCTGATTTTCATCAGCAAGGGTATTTTAGTAATTTGGATTAGTTGCAGGAATTTTAGGTTTATGGTAATTTTCTGTCTAGTAATTATTTTTGGTAATTAGTATTTTAGTTGTTATGGAGAATAAAAAAAAACTTAACTTTCTAACTTTCTACTAGAAGTCTACTCTAGTTAGGAGTCCTAATTAGGATTGGAATTGGCTTTCTTCTAAAGTCTATAAATAACCACTTCTCCACAAAGAGAATGCAGTTTTTGATCATTAATAAAATTTTCCTGCAGACTTAACGTCTTTCTTAGGGTTGTGTGATACATCCCAACTTTAGGCGTGATGCCTAAAGATTCCTAGGAGTGATTCTTAGAATTACCAATCAGTTTTCACCTTCTTAAGCATATTCTCCCATCCTATTATAAGTTTGGGTGACATTCAATCTCTAAGGCCTTGTTTGGACAGCAATTTTCCAAAGAAAAATTGCTACGTTTTTCGTGAACACATTTCCCAATCACCTTTTTACCTCACATATATCAAATTGCTACACTAATTTTTCTACAAAAAAATCAGAAAAATGCAATCCAAACAAGGCCTAAGCTTTTCTACAAAGCTGTTGTGCCTACCAAGTTTTCGTGCTGCGTCAGCATACATATGTAATGCATATATGTATATGCCCTTGAAACCAAGAGGATAAAATCCTTGAAGCCTAGGGCTGTCCGACTGAAGTCGTCAACTTCAAAAGGAGAGGAATGAGTTACATTAATGAAGGATTGTACTGCCTCGGATTCAGTACAAAAGAAAATAAAAAGGAGAGATATAAGAGGAACTCAAGAACAAGTGAAATGGTCTAAAGCCCAAGTTCTTGAAACTCAATCCCATCCAAAAGAAGCTACAAATCATATTTTTCCTGAAAAGATGATATTCCAAGTTAAAATGGTCAAAGTGAATTCTTTCATGAGAGGATTTAAATGGTAAGTGAGGAGAATAAGAAACTTTCATCCAAAGGTTCTCTTAGTGCCAAAACACTCCACGAGTGGTTTACAGAGTAACAAGTTTTCAAAATTAGATTTGTAATTTGTACAGATATGTTTGAAAAACCATAAGCAAAACCCTATACCATTAAGGTCACTATCAACTTGCATAAACTGTTACGAGTGTTAAATCAAATTTTCTAAAACGGGGCTCACATTCATTAATTAATCTCCTAATAACTCTAAATTAATTTGCAATTTTTGAATCCCTTTGGTTACAGGTAACTACATAGCTCTGGATCAGTCACCACAATGACAATATAAAAAGTCAAGAACATTTTTTCTCCATAACAAGGAAAAAACATAAATATCTCAAAACAACATTAATGATCAATACGGTGTTTTTAAGTGTCAACCAAGAACATAGTAGTTAAATGTGCATGAGTGAGTGCCAAAAAAACATAGCACTTTGTATTCTCTCAAGCAACCAACCAATGATAATGCACAGAAAAGTATAGAAGTGTCCAAAAAAAAGGGTCTCTTGGACGGACTTTATCCTCTTCATGGGGTATGCTTTTCTTGAAACCATTGGATTTCTTTGTCTTGTCTAGACCATTGAGTAAGCAAGTAGCTTGATTAGTTTGTGGCCTGACAACCATAGGATAACCAATTACTACTAGGGTAGAACCTCAAAGGTTTCCTGACTTGATTGATGAAGATGACTAGTAGCTTAACAGTCTATGCATCCTAAAATGCTTTAAATGCTAGAAGAATGATATACAAACTATTTGTTCACTGTAACTGAATGCGGTCTTTTCTTTTAACTTGCATATGCTATTTGCACTGGAATTTTAGTTTGCACCTTTTTTTTTCTTTCGAACTTTTCTATGTTAGAATCTGTTATTGATAATGTATCTGATGGTATTTTAAATGTTTACACAAGTCAACTTAACATAGATGTAAGCTACAGTGAAATAAGATTGCAGTTCACTTGAACAAAGCCTGCATTTTGCATTGCGCTCTAGAAAGTAGCGTGGTATACTAACTCATGCAAAACTAAAAACAGGCTTTCCTTTTCTTTTTTTGTTATGCTAAGAGTTTCAGTTCCATCAAAAAAAGCACAGAGCAGTACATAAGAAAATATAAGTAAAAATCAATACCACCTTTTCAAGCAAACAAACGAGCTCTGTAACGAAGGACAGAGGCAAATGCAAGAGATGAGGCTTGGAAGGCAAGACTAGTAAAGGCATAAACTTGAGAGAAACTCACAATCTCTACCCAAAAAAAAAAAAATTTTTTTGGCGGGGAAAGGGAGGGTTGTCGCGTGTTTCACATGTGAATTTTTCCGAAGATGCATCATAACCTTAAAACTTAATAGTAATATATCCGAAAGCAAACAGGGCAACTAATAAAAGAAGAGCTTGTTTATGGTATTTGTTGAGTAAAAACAATAATATGGTGTAATATCAATCCAATCAACCGAGGACCCATTACATCACATTTGAAACAATCCTCAAAATAATAAAGAACATGATTGAACAAACGGAACAAAGCTCACATTTTTGTATTGTCAAAGGTCAGAAAGTAAGAAATGGCAAACCTGAGAAGTGACATCGTTTGGTGCAGAAGTTGAGGCGGAAGAGGGAGAGGGGGAGCCCACAAAATCCATTCTTTTTTTTGTTTTCGTTAACACCCAGCTCTTATCTGATTCCTACGTACATTTATCTAAATACATATTGATTTGATATAGCAGCGGTGGAACAAAACAAAACCATTCAATGGCGGGCATCAATCATATGGCCAGCCTCTGCAATTGATTAGCAGTATTAGGCATAAGAAGATGAGCCCAGAAATTAAAAAGAAAAGAAGCAGGATGAGGAGGATGGTGGAGAAGAGAGGAGGGCGACCAGCCAGCCAAGGTGGTTTTGCCTTTGCGGGGATGACGAAGATGGCGTTTGGAACGAGGCTGGAGAAGGGAAATATACTTGGGAAACTTCTCGCTTCTTTGATTTCTTCTGCGGGAAAAGGTTTTCTATTACTAGTTGAAATTGGAAAAGCGGTCCCCTGCACTTACAGAATTTATATTAAGTATTTTGTTTTACGGCTAATTGCAACATGCAGTCGTGCACGTCCCTCACCTATCACTGATTTCACTTTGTGCCTAAAACTATCAATTTTAGCGTTTTAATACCATACGCTTTCATGTTCAGAGCTTCAATCGAAAAATAGAAAGATAATTTTTTTGGATTAATCTTTCCTACATTGATAATGTATATACTATAATTATTATTGGATCCATGACATACATACATGTAAAAGTTGAATTTTGTTATGAAATGACAAAAATGTGGATGTCCCTTCGTATTCTCAAGGGGATTAATTCATGATTTTATGGTTACTTATGTATATAAGTTACAATTCATAAATCCATTCATGTAATGGAGAAACCGTTTCATAAGTTTCTTCATATTATTGTAGTAGTGGATGTTTAATAAGATTTATGTACCTTTAATCTTGTAGTGCCTATATATAGAGGTACATTGAGACCCTTTGGTTGTACTTTTGTATCTTGTTGAAATATAAGGATATCATTCTCCATTTCTCTACTCCTTTCTCTAATACTTCTTCAATTCCTATTGTAGTATCTTCATTTTATTAGTTTTATAACACGTTATCAGCACGAAAGCTCTACTTTTGAGCAAAAAAGTGAAAACAGAGCCGCTACTTTGAACAAAAGTGAAGCACAAGATTTTTCCGAAATTCTGTCTGTATTTCTTCAAGTGACTTTTGAGGTAAATTTCTAAGTCAAAATCTTATTTCAATTTCTTATGGCTAATCTTATAAAACAAGAGTTTGTACCTCTTGATATTTCTGGAAAAAATTATTTATCATGGGTATTGGATGTTGAAATCCATCTTGAGGCAATGGGTCTTGGTAATACTATAGTGGAAAAAAATGAATCCTCAAATCAAGACCGTGCCAAAGCTATGATTTTTCTTCGTCATCATTTAGATGAAGGATTAAAATCAGAATATCTTACTGTTAAAGATCCTCTTGTTCTTTGGCGAGATTTGAAAGAAAGATTCGACCACCTGAAGTTGGTCGTTCTTCCAAAAGCCCGATATGATTGGTTTCACTTACGGCTGCAAGATTTTAAATCTGTCAAAGAATATAATTCAGCTATGTTCAGAATCACTTCTCAATTATCATTATGTGATGAAAAAGTCACTGATGAAGATATGTTAGAGAAAACATTTTCTACTTTTCATGTCTCTAACATGCTCCTGCAGCAGCAATATCGAGAGAAGGAGTTTACAAAATATTCTGAACTTATTGCATGTCTTCTCTTGGCTGAACAAAACAATGAATTGTTGCTGAAAAATCATGAGTCCCGACCAACTGGTGCAAGTCCATTCCCTGAAGCGAATGCGACCCAATTTCAAAATTCTGGTCGAGGTCGTGGCTGTGAGGACTCGCAAATTTCTTGTATTTTTCTCAAAAATACCATTTTATTTGAAAATTATTATTTATCAAAGGCCACTACCCAAATATTTCACACTAAGTGTAAATAAACCTAGAAAATAGGGTTTTACGTTTCGGTTTCAAGTTTGAGCAAAATTAGGGCTTTTGCGATTTTCCGCCGGAGGAATTTTCGGTACTGGCCAAGGATCAATTTGATGATTAAAAGTGACTTTTAAGTGAGAAATAATATGTGAGTAGTAGCAATGATATAAGGTTAGTGAATGGGAAGTAAAAACCCTAGTACGTGAGTTTTTAAGAAAAAAGGCGCGAACCGGCGGGTCCCGCGCACTACCGATTGAACGCGCCGTTTGACCACCATTTTTTCCTTACCAAACAAAATTATTGAACTTGAGCAAAATATCTTCTCTCTTGGCAGCAAGCTTGACCGAATTTGAGGCTAGAAAATAACAAGAAAGAAAGAGAAAAAAAGAAAGGTGGTGGTGGCGACAAGTCCTCAAGGTTTCTTGACCAAGACAAAGACCATCTATTTAACACCAAAATTCAGCAACTTTACTCTTCATTTCTGCATCCTTGGCCGAGAGAAAGAGGGAAGAAAACACCAAGGGAGAACACTTCATCTCTTCTTCAATCCAACAACTAAGTGAGGAATCAAACAAAAGAAACCGATTAAACTTGTTCTTGAGTGATTAGTTAGTGATTTGTGGTGAGACTTTGGAAGGAGAAAGTTTGGGCTATCCTTAGTGAACTCTAGTCAAGGTAAGAAAGCTTATCTCTCTAAGTTTTACTTTCAATTTTGTTAAATTAAGCTTAGCAACTTGATTTTGTAGTGGAATCATGGATATTATCATGTTTTAGAAGTTTTCCCCTTTTTATTTGATGAACTAGGGTTTGGGAAAATTCTGCCCAATTTATTGTATGGTGCTTATATGTTGAAATTAAGGTTATAAGAGAGGCTTTGGCAGTGATTAGACCAAGAAATTAAGGAAAGTTCCACTAAAAACTAGAAATTCCAGAATCTGGAAATTTTTTCCCAACATTCTGTCCGAATTTGTAACTGTATGTTAGAGGCCGAATTGGCCTTGGGTCAAAGAAGGAAAGTTGTAGATAATGGTATTTTATAGGTGTCTACAAAATTTCAGCTCAATCGGAGCAACGTAGGTCATGAAAAGTCCAAAATACCCTTACTGTTTTAAATATTTCTCCAGCAGTCCGTTTCATCAGTTAAGTCCAGTTTATCACATTTTTTGACTAGGAGCCGTACTGATTTAGCTTTTTGCCGAAACATGAAAGTTGTAGGATTTTGTCTTAGGTTTCAAATGCCTCTAAGAACATCTGAATTGGACTTTTGTACACTGAGTTATGTCCATTACAGTGTAATGCGATTAAACAGCCGACGAATTGGTTTCTGGTTTAGTAATTTGAAATTTTGACCAAGCTACATTAGAAACTGGACTAAGTGACCTTCATGAACATTTTAGCTCTGTGTCTTAGCTTCGAAACGGCATAGGTTGCGTCTCAATCTGATAAGCGTACCCTCGGATATATTATTTCCGCATTCATACGTCAAATCTGTCTTGTGCCAAATTGAATTTCTGCACTTGTTATTGTTGTAATTCTTGTTATTATGATATTGTGAGCCTATGGAACGGATCTTGACATGAATTGTTGATATATGTGATGTTAGGTTGTGGTTGAGAAAAATAATGAAGCCTAAATGGCTGGAAAATTAGGTAAACACAAAGGGTATGCTGCCCGAATTTTTACTCGAGGTCTAGAAAACTATATTAGCGACTTGAGTGAAGGTTAAGTACTTATTACTTGAACTAGCAAGGACCTTTGCTACTATGTTTCTCGAGTGTTATACGTTAGAACTTGGCCGAACTTGTACCCTTGAAGAAAAGCCTAATGGCCAATGTAAACTTGAATTTCCTTGTACTTTCAACTCAAGTATTATTTCCAAGCATCTATGTTACAAAACCTTATGATTTGAAAAGCGAGCAAGTTTTCACGAGTGTCTTTCAAATGAATTTCAATTGGTCAATTCTTAATGAACGGAACGTTTAAGTTTCGAATCCTACTCGTATTTCAAAGTTCTCAAACTGAAATTTTCTCGCAGATTTGGACTCCAAACCCGGAGTACCACCTCGACGCGAGAACTAGAAGCACTATTGTGGTGAGTGCTTTCAAATATCCGATTGTACTTGATGCCTGTGTTCCTTACATGACTTGTGTGAATACATGAAAATGAATGATAGTGCAAGGGTATACTTTACCGCACTTGCTCTAATATGACTTGTTCTTGCTATTGAATATACTTGACTTGCTTTACATGTACTTGAAATATGTCTTGCCTGGAATTCCAGAAACCCTGTGGCTAGTTAATCGAGTCGAGCCGGCAAGGGTCTGGTCGATTAGATAACGAACCCTGGGTTACTAGTTAAGTCGAGTGGAGTGTTATCTCCTCGGCAATCCGGTATACTCGAGTATTACCACCCGTGTTTCGTGTGGCGTGCGGGCCCGAGAAAGGGGGTTGATCGGCGGACGGGGATTGGCGTGTAGTAAAGTTTTATTTTGGATTTGTTATTACTTGAAAGTTGACGGAGTGTCAACTACCCATTGATCAAGCTGGAATGGAGCCGAGATATGATTACCGTATCCTTATTTGTGATTGCAAACTTGATATTATTTGATTAGTTGAAGTACTATTTCCCTGATTATGACTTGTTTGCTCGCTATTTCACTATTACTATGTTATTCCTTGCTTGTTGGCCAATTTGATATTTGGAATTTCGCTGGATTTCGGCTCACCCTTTTAGTTTTATTTTCCTTACAGGGGTACGAGTGAAGCGTGAGAAGTGTAAAGGCTAGCGTAGTCTAGTTACTTTAGACTTTGTTTTGAATTTTGGTTTTGTACTCGCGCTATTCCTCGAATGGAACATTTTGTACTTGGATTGTATATATTTTGAACTAGTTTAAGTATATCGAAACTTTGTACCTTGATTTCTATCAATGTAAATTATAAGCTTGAATTGCGGATATTATTAATGGTTCTTGGTGTGTGCACGTGATTCGAGTGAGTGAGTCCTGGCGAGAGTTGGGCAGGCGGTCCGCCGAACCCTCTGGTACGCCTTAGGGGGAGGTGAGGTCGTCTCAGTGGGCGTGGACGTGATCGTAGTAAATTTGTGCCCCGTGAAAATTTTAACCGTGACAAGCAACAAAATGTTTCCCAAAAGAAGGAAAATAACTACGATCAGAAAAATGGAGAAAAGAAAGTTTATGAAGAAAAATGCTACCGGTGTGGTATGGAAGGTCATTGGTTTCGTACCTGTCGTACAGCCGAACATCTTGTTGACCTCTATCAAGCATCATTGAAAAAGAAAGACAAAGGTGTTGAGACAAATTTCATTGATCAAAAGAATGACTATGATGATGGTGACGATGCTGACATGACAAACCTCGATGTTGCTGATTTTTTTGAACATCCTGAAGATATCAACAAATATCCCATGATTATTTAGATATTTTTATGATGCTTTATATCTTTCATATAATTTCCTTTCCATTGAATATTTATTTTCCCATCTTTATTAATATTTATTTTTGTTTGAAATTTTCTTCCTGAAGAAGAAATGGATATTAAATATTTGGGATTAAATAATTGTGATGATGATATTTGTCTCATTGATAGTGCTACTACGCACACCATATTGAAAAATACTTGTTTGAAAATGGGAGAGACAAATGTTAATACCATTAGTGGTAGTGCAAAATTGATTGAAGGTTCCGGAAGAGCCACTATATTTCTCCCTGAAGGGACTAAAATTATTGTAAATAATGCACTATTCTCTCCCAAGTCTCGAAGAAACTTAATGAGTTTTAAAGATATCCGCAAAAATGGATATCATATCGAGACAATGACTGAGACAAATGGTGAATTTTTATTAATCACAAGTATCATTTATGGGAAAAAATGCGAAATAGAAAAATTACCTTCTTTTTCTTCTGGGTTATATTATGCACAAATTAGTGCAATTAAAATTCATCACCTAGTAGACCAGAAGTCTACTCATCACGATGATTTTATGATTTGGCATGATCGTCTCGGACATCCTGGATCTATAATGATGAGATGAATAATTGAGAATTCACATAGCCACTTATTGAAAAGTAAAAAAGTATTAAAAGCCAATGAATTCTCTTGTGCTGCTTGTTCTCAAGGGAAATTAATTATTAGACCATCACAAGTTAAAGTTGGGACTGAATCCCCTGCATTTCTAGAACGAATTCATGGTGATATATGTGGCCCTATAGATCCACCATGTGGACCATTTCAATATTTTATGGTGCTAATTGATGCATCAACTAGATGGTCACATGTATGTTTATTATCTACTCGCAACTTGGCATTTGCGAGATTGCTTGCTCAAATAATTAAATTGCGAGCATAATTTTCAGATTTTTCAATAAAGAAAATTCATCTAGATAATGCTGGTGAATATTCGTCACATGCTTTTGACGATTATTGTATGTCCATTGAAATAACTGTTGAATATACTGTAGCCTATGTTCACACACAAAATGGTCTAGCCGAATCACTTATTAAACGGCTACAATTAATTGCTAGACCATTGTTGATGAGGTCTAAGCTTCCTTCATCTGCTTGGGGACATGCTATTTTACATGCAGCAACACTTGTGAGAATTAGGCCGACAAATTATCACATTTATTCTTCCATACAATTAACTTTTGGTTATGAGCCAAATATTTCTCATTTACGAATATTTGGTTGTGCGGTGTATGTTCCAATTGCACCGTCCCAACGTCGTAAATTGGGCCCACAAAGAAGATTGGGGATATATGTCGGATATGAATTACCTTCAATCATTAAGTATATGGAACCATTAACAGGTGATTTATTTACTGCGAGATTTACAGATTGTCATTTTGATGAATCACATTTTCCGACATTAGGAGGAGATAAAAATCAAGCGAAAAAGGAAATCACTTGGAAAATATCATTGAATTTCCTTGATTCTCGTACTAAAGAATGTGAATTAGAAGTTCAAAGGATTATACATTTGCAAAAAATTACAAATCAATTACCGGATGCATTTAATGACTCCAAAAGAGTTACTAAATCACATATTCCTGCTGAAAATGCTCCGATTAAAATTGATATCCCTGAAGGATAAATCACAAGTGCTAATGAGTGTAAAGCACACCTGAAGCGTGGGAGACCTCTTGGTTCCAAAGATAAAAATCCTCGAAAGAAAAGAGGAGTAGATGAATCAACAATTAGTAACAAAATTCAACCTCCTGAAGAGGTCGCTCCTAAAGAGCTAATTCTTGAAGAGAATGAAATTATAGAAAATTCAATAAATTTTGTCACTTCAAGAAAAAGTTGGAACCGAAAAGAAATAATTATTGATAATATTTTCGCATATAATATAGCACTTGATATTATGGCAGAGGACGAGGATCATGAGCTTAGATCGGTTGATGAATGTCGAGGTAGAAATGATTGGCCAAAATGGAAAGATGCGATCCAATCTGAATTGGACTCACTAGCTAAAAGAAAAGTTTTTGGACCTGTAGTCCAAACACCTGAATGTGTAAAGCCAGTAAGATATAAATGGGTATTTGTGAGAAAAAGAAATGAAAAAAATGAAATTGTGAGATATAAAACAAGACTTGTAGCCCAAGGATTTTCACTAAGGCCTGGATTTGATTATGATGAAACGTATTCACCTGTAGTGGATGCTATCACATTTAGATATCTTGTGAGTTTTGCAGTACATGAAAAATTAGATATGCGTCTAATGGACGTCGTTACTGCATATTTATATGGGAATCTTGAAAATGATATTTATATGAGAATTTCCGAAGGATTCAACATGCCTGAAGCATGCAAATCAAATTCTAAAAATATTTATTCTATTAAATTACAAAGGTCTCTGTATGGGTTCAAACAATCTGGACGTATGTGGTATAATCGTCTCAATGAATGTCTGACAAAAGAAGGTTATACCAATGATCCAATATGTCCATGTGTTTTTATCAAGAAAAATGGATCAAATTTTGTGATAATTGTGATATATGTTGATGATCTAAATTTAATTGGAACTCCTGAAGAGATTCAAAAGAGTGTTGAATATTTGAAAAAAGAATTTGAGATCAAAAATTTTGGAAAGACAAAATTCTGCCTTGGTTTACAAATTGAGCATTTGAAAGGTGGAATTTTTGTCCACCAAACTGCTTATACCCGGAAGGTATTAAAGCGATTTTATATAGACAAAACACATACATTAAGTACCCCAATGGTTGTCAGATCATTAGATCCTAATAAGGATCCTTTTAGACCACGAAAGGAAAATGAAGAGATACTTGGTCCTGAAGTACCATATCTCAGTGCAATTGGTGCACTAGTGTATCTTGCTAATTGTACAAGACCTGATATATCATTTGCAGTAAATTTATTAGCAAGATTTAGTTCCTCGCCCACAAGACGACATTGGAATGGTATTAAACATATTTTTCGCTATCTCCAAGGAACAATAGATCTTGGTTTATTTTATTCAAATAAATTCAAATCAGAATTGGTTGGTTATGCTGATGCTGGGTATTTATCCGACCCGCATAAAGCAAGGTCTCAGATTGTTTATTTATTTACATATGGAGGCACAGCCATTTCTTGGTGATCTACAAAGCAATCACTAGCCGCCACTTCATCGAATCATGCTGAAATAATAGCAATTCATGAAGCCAGTCGAGAATGTGTTTGGTTAAGATCAATGACCCACTATATCCGGAAGAATTGTGAGATATCCTCCGGAAAAGAAAATTCTCCAACTATATTATATGAAAATAATGCAGCTTGTATAGCTCAATTGAAAGGAGGATATATTAAAGGAGATAGGACGAAACATATTTCACCAAAATTCTTTTTTACTCATGATTTGCAAAAGAATGGTGAAATTGATGTGCAACAAATCAGATCAGATAATAATCTGGCCGATTTATTTACCAAGGCATTACCAACTGCGACATTTGAGAAATTGGTGAAGAGTATTGGAATGCAACGATTAAAAGATCTCAAATGACGTTTGCATCAGGGGGAGAAATTATTACACAAGAATAGTGTACTCTTTTTCCTTCACTAGGGTTTTTGGTCCCACTGGATTTTTCCCTAGTAAGGTTTTAACGAGGCATATTCTTTGTGTAATGGACATCCAAGGGGGAGTGTTATGAAATAACAAAAATGTGGATGTCCCTTTGTATTCTCAAGGGGATTAATTCATGATTTTATGGCTACTTATGTATATAAGTTACAATTCATAAATCCATTCATGTAGTGGAGAAACCGTTTCATAGGTTTTTTCATATTATTATAGTAGTGGATGTTTAATAAAATTTATATACCTTTAATCTTGTAGTACCTATATATAGAGATACATTGAAACCCTTTGGGTGTATTTTTGTATCTTGTTGAAATATAAGGATATCATTCTCCCTTTCTCTAATACTTCTTCAATTCCTATTGTAGTATCTTCATTTTATTAGTTTTATAACAAATTTCAAATTTTACATAATTGTTATTCATCCAATAATAATAGTGTATTATACACTATCAGTGTATATAAGATTTACTTAATTTTTTTTAAAATTTTTCTTCTTCATGTGGGTCTTCTCAAGTAATTTGATTTTAAAGTATCGATCAAAATCTATTGGTTTGAAACAATTTAATAAACTAAAGTGTTTCCTTAATTAACTAACTATTAAATTCTCTTTAGTGAAACCATAGATAAATGCAAAAACTCTTCTTAATTGGAAATGAAAGAAAGGAAAAATGAATATTTTCTTTAGGGATAATTTCAGAAACCTCCCCTGAGGTTTCTGATAATTTCACTGAGCTCTCCTGAGATTTGAAAAATTACACATACTTTTCTTGTCATTTAAAATGGTAATACTACCCTTAAATATTTTAATGAATTGCCCTTGTGTGGTATACTTATATTTAGAATGACTTTTAAAATTATTTTTTCATTCTTATTCCTTCTTATTCCTTTTTATTTTAATTTTTTCTCAATAAAACTATAAAATTACCACTATTATCTCTAATTTCTATTGTAATCAAATGTCAAACTAGTAATTTTTTTAATGAGTTAATTTTATACGTAATCCAATATTTTTTGCTAATCTTTGTTTTCTATTTTTTAGTATTAAAATTAACAATAAATCAAAAAAGAATTGCCCAAAACCACTAGTAAATTATAATAATCCCACTACTCAAAAAATTCATAAACTATGAATCAATTATTTCAACATTTTATTTTCTATCTTATAAATCTAAATTTGTAATAAAATACTATCAAAAGTGTCGTATCAATGATTATTATAGTCGTTTATCAAATAGTACGTATGAACATAAAAAATTCGGCACCTTTTCCTTATAATTACATTAGATAATCTTATAATTCTATAGGGAAGTAAATTAAAACTCATGACACAAGGACATTTT